CAAAGAAAAATACAAGGTGGCTTATTTGTTCCTAATGTAAAAAATTATTATTAATTGGATATATGTCAATGTATAGATCAGGGGCATTCCATTCAAAATTTCCATTTTTCTCTAATTTCTACTCAGAAGAATATTATTAAATGTCTGGTCGCCATCCTGCTTTTGAAGAAATGCAAAGATAGTCTAATATTGCTGCAAATGTAGACTAAATCACTGCAAAATTCACTCAATCTGAATTAGGAGTAGAAACAAGTTTTAATTTTGGTTCGCGACATCTTCACGTGATAAACTTGATATTCACTTGCCTTCAAACTTCACAGTTATTGAAAAGTCAAGCTGACAATGATTCCTCCACCATTAGGTGCAGGGATTTAGTATCAGAACTTCTCCCCACTTGTATCATTGGGAGCATCTTAAACAGGACTCAGTCTCAACCCCAAACAAGTCTAACTTACATCACGTTTATTCCTGATATTATCAGGATGAAGTGCAAAACCACTATGTCAAGCCATATTTACTCTCCCAGGGTGGGAAGAATCTGGCTTTAGACAAAAGTTGTCTCATCTGTTACCTGACTCCTTCTTAGTGATTTTCAACGCCTTGTCTTTCTTACCAATTTCTATTTTGCTATTTGCTATTTGCATGTGAAATTCAGATGCCTTTGTTTGCTTTTATTTGACCTGTCATGTCTTACTTTCCCATTTTCTTCTCCCTTTCTTTTTCCTTTCCTTCACAAGTTAAGTGCACATTTTGCTTTGACACATAACACAACTGCTCCTCCAACTCTGCTTCATTCTCACTCTACTTGATCAAAATATTCAGCATCCGCTTGTTCAGTTTCTGAATTACTCAAGGCCTGTCTTGTCTCTTATTCTCCTGTTTAAGGCGTGTTTGGGACCATTTCACTGCTCTCAAGATGGCTTTTAGGAGGAACAGCAAAGGACAGTGCAAAAAATGATTTGGACTTTGGACACAGATCTTCAGATCCCATCTCCTGCTAGCTTTGTGTCTAGAGCAAGTTACTCAACCACCCAGATGGTCAATTTTCCCATGTAGGAAACAGGGGGATTTACAGGACTTTGATAGAGGTTATCAATAATCGAGGTGAAAGTTGGCACAAGACTGGCATCCGATGAATTAGCAGGTAATATTACTGAGCAAGTAAGGAAGAATCTTAATTTGGGTATTTATCAATCAGATGGAAAGCCTGAGAGTCGAAATCTGAAGATTTCAAAGAGGCACGCTTTCTCTGAATCATGACTATGGATCATTAAGAACTGGGTCCATTTTTGTTGTTGTTGTTGTTGTTAGAACAAAAAGTTCTTTCCAGAACGTATTTCCAGGTGTCCTTCTCAGGGCTATAAACCAAACAAAAGGAACCAGGGAGGATGTGAGAAAGTTGATTTTACCCTGTTATCAGCTACACTTTTACCATCTTTATCAGGAAGAGAGGCAGGTCACTGGCATCATTTGGTCTATAAAATCACAGAGCAGACTATTTCTACCACATCCCTTAGCATAAATTTTAACATAATATTCTATTTTCATGTGAAAAACTGTTTACTTAGGGGATATGAATATTTTCATCCATGGCAACTGCTTTTACAAAATATTAGGAGGGAGTTTGTCTTAAAAGTTAAAGGTTTTGTGCTTAAGAATTTCAACTGCTGACAGGCATCCACGGGATGACAAATTGGGCAGGGTATCTCTGCTGTCCCCAGCGACAGTGCCGAGGGGACCGCCTGCAGGGTTCTGTCACCATCGTTCTTGCAAAGGAGCTCTGAGCCTCAAGCAGACCCCAGTGGTCTCTGAATCCCTGACAGGTTGCTAGGAATCACCCCTCACCCGGGCTGAGCAGCAAACACTGCAGCAGGCACTTTCAGAACAAAAGCCAAGGCTTTTATTAAAAACAACAAAACCAACATCCCCTCCCCTCCCCCACAACTCCCTCAATCCACGTTAATAGCAAACTAAGAATGAACATTAGCAGAGACAGGTACCTCATACCTAGTCCTTGGACTTCCTGAACTTGTGAGATCTAATAAGACTGTAAGTAAATGTAGGTTAAAACTAGAAATAGTCCCTTTATTTCAGTCCTTTAGAAACATTCTCCCCTGAAATGATGATGCTTTGAATGCCATCTTGCAGCGCTGAGTTGTGACACATTCATTTGATAAATTCTCAGATCATGACTTGAAATTAGTTATGGGGTATTTGATAATGAAATAATTCTTGGAGAAAATGAAGCAGCACCTCTCTCATACGGTCACAGACAATCCTGCTTAGCATTTTTAGTAGCAGCGAGAACACAAATGATCACGGAATTGCAAAGCAGCAACTGACTCCCAGGTGACACAAAGTGCGAACTGACCGGGTACAGCTGTTCTGAACCAACAAGCCAGACACAGGAATAAGCTGTAATTGTCAGAAAAACCTGGGATGGAGATGGTGATACATACACCTTTTCGATTTTTGCCAGGTTTCCTTTTATTCTCCTTGGTAAAACGCCGTGCACGGTCAGCACTAAGCAGATCTATGCATTTTGCAGCGATATCCTTACTTTGGTCGATACACGGTGTATTGCTAAGTCAGTTTCCGCTTGGTAATTCTGCCAGAAATTAATGATTCAGACAAAGCAGTGTCTTAAACCAAGCTGCGGAAACAACATTCTTTCTGGGGAGAGCTGGGAGGAGTTGATCACAGGTAAAGCTAAAGGTTTTGCCAACAGAATGTGTTTGGCTGCATAAAAGGTGACTGTCATAGCTGTTCCTGGAAGTAGGTGACACAGATCTCACTCATTCAGTACTTAATACACCCTGCCTCCCTCTGCTTTGCAACTAGTTTGTCATCATTTGGGACCTGTCATCTTCTAGTAAAGTGTGAACTGAACAGCAATTAGGAACACTGATAAATAGGACTCCATTACTTTTATGTTTGTCATTTATATGACCATTTTATCCCAAGCACACTTTCCTTGGGATGTTAGCAACTACAAAATTATAAGGAAGAAAGTACAAACACAACAGTTAACTTGTTCCCAGAGAATGTTCTTCTGAGTGTTTCATTCTCCATCTGGTCTATCTCGGCAATTTAGGTCAAGACTAGTGACCGTCCCAGGGAGGGCTGGCTAGTTCTGTGAGTTAGCCCAGGATCTGGAGACTAAAATCACCACTGACAGACTCCCCAAATCCTGCACGATGCAATAGGATCCCTCCCTTCTTCCTAGCCTCTCTCCCTTTCTTCCTTCCCCAATTCTTTAATGACTGCCTACTTTATGCAAGCCATAATAATGACAACTGAAGTTACTGGGGTTGAAAACCGTAGACTGTGAACAATTCTCCCTAAAAGGACATCTTTATAGATCAAATGCAGTGAAACAACACTGGAGTTAGCTGAGACGCGTCAGGCCCAAGGCACAGTTTTGCCAAAGACGAGCTGTGACACTCCGTCCAGCTACCTGCCTCCGTCTATTCAGCTGCAGGAATGAGCCATCACAGGGTTGGCGCACAGTTTGATAAAATATTTTGTCAGCTGCAAAACTGCACACAAAGAGATGATCTGTGTCTACGGCTGATGGCATAAATATGGAACAAAGAGAAGAAAAACACTTCTGTCCAGACTCTGTAATTACATCTGATCAAGCCTCAAATGTTGTTTCTTAGTAAATTATTCTTCTACAAAATGTGAAGAGATGGTCTGACTTGGAGCAGTAACCAATGAATGACAGCAAAGCATTAAGTAAATATCTGGAATTTACTCTGTTTAACTCTATCAAAGCCTCTGTCGATAATGTATTCCCCACTCAACTTGCTTATAAAATAAGACTGAAGAACAATTCGAGTTAAAAGAAAAAGAAACTATCTTACATGGGTAGTTATTTTCAACTTTCTAGAGTCACACAAATTCTCTAATATTTCTGACCGAGCTTTCGAGTCACATGAATTAATGGCATTTAGAACGTTGTGTGTTACTGTAACAGTTTAAAAACAATAAAATATTTAAAAATA